ATGACAGTGGTTGAGAATTAAAGAAGTCAATTATAGTGTGAATTTTGCCACAGACTAGAAGTATGATAGTAGACTATTTATTTAATCTACATGAGTGTTTAAGTATTTACCTGCAGCATGATGTGTTGAGAGAATTAAATGATGCCATACATGAAAAATACTTACCAAATTGCCTGCAAAAATAATTAAATAATTTGCAATTCCTAGCTAGCTATAAAATAACTAACTATAAAAATAAAATACTATTATTTTTATAGTTAGTTATTGCTTTTGCTGATTTTTGTAATAGAAATATGAAAATATAACTTTCAGTTTTTCCAAGCAGATTGTAACATAAATCCAAACAAGAAGTTGCCTCTTTTCAGAAAATAATCTTGCCTTGATTAACTTATGGAAAGCCAACACTACTGAAAACTGAATGATGTTATTTGTATCTGCAAAGCAATTTAGATAAAGGTGGAAAGAAGAAAAGTAATCAGATTGTTCACAGATAGTAAAAGCATACCACAGATGATCTTGTATATACTAAGTCAATAATTGATTTTGTTCATAAGCCTAAAAGTAACTTACATATGAAGATATACATTCTTTAAAGCAAAGTGATTCATATTCATACATGCTTTCTTTGAGCAATACTGTAAGTGATCCCTGGTAGTTTTTAAAAATGCATCATCCTGACATTTACATCGCCCTGATTTCAATCTCTAGCCCCAGCCAAAAAGGTCATAACTATATTTTTATTTAACACTAACAGCCCTGTTAAATAAATGCTATTCTCTTATTATACTTTATTATTTTGTGAGTCTGCACCCCCATAAAAACTACCCAGACTGGGTGATTTATAGATATTAAGGAGTTGTTTTTCACAGTTTGGAGGTTAAGAAGTCTACATCCAGTCATTGACAATCTATGTCTGATGAAGGCTCAGTTTCTGTTTCCAAGGTGACACATTGCTATGTGTTCTGTAAGAGACACTATGTCCTCATATAAAAGAAGGAATAGAGGGGCAAAAAGAACCTACTTAATTCCCTCTGGCATTTTATGGGCTAACAATCCAATCCATGGCAGTATCACCTCCTATGTCAATAGACAAGCCAAGGAAGCCTCTCCCCTCTAGCCTCAATTAGTTCTCATTGAATATTGAAATATTATATGATTTCACCCCCATGCTTGCACAGATCAGTTACTTAACAATTCTCAATGCCATTTTCTTTATCGGTAAAGATAGAAATAACAATGGCTATCTTTTACTGAATTCCACATGAATTTATTGAATGATACATTGCATTTGAGTTCTGAAGGAATGAAAAGTGTGAGACCTGTCCCCAAGTTTCCAAATGGTGTGACTGGGTGAATGGTAGTGTCTAAGATACTGCAGTCTTTGGCTGCTGAGGGAAAGGAAACTTTTTTTTGAGGATGTGGTCCAGAGTAGGTCAACTGCAAACCCATTGGAGAGCCACCACCCAAGAGTAGAACAAACTGGACTCAGTGGGTTTAAAAAGCACTTGAGAACAAAAGCTAGGGAGGTAGGGATCAGAGTTGGTATGGAAGGAGTTGGAGGATAAAAGTGAATATTATGTATACAGTGTTCTGTCTGCATGTTTGCCTGCCTGCCAGTAGAGGGCACCAGATCTCATTATAGATGGTTGTGAGCTACCATGTGGTTGCTGGGAATTGAACTCAGGACCTTTGGAAGAGCAGCTAGTGCTCTTAACCTCTGAGCCATCTCTCCAGCCCTAAAGTGAATATTATCAAAATATATTGTATGAAAATCTCAAATAACCAATGAAAGTATTGTTTGAAGATACTTAAGTCACAAATCAGTGGTCACATGCTCTTGGTTCAGAGCCTTCTGGCATATAGGTTCAGAGTGATACCTGTATGCTTCAGAGAAGGAAGGTAAAAGTCAAAACTTGCTTAAAAGAATCTCTGTGGCTCACAGTGTGATTCTGGATAATTGATGTTATTTAGTTTGAATGCAGCTGGCCTCACAATAGCAATAATAATTTCCTTTAAAGATACGCCTTAATTTGTAAAAATGTAAAATCCTAGGAAATTGCTTATAAACTAATTGGGTTTAAAAAACTAACATGTGCTAAAGACAACAAGTATTATCTAGCTCATTATGATAGGCAGAAAGGGTGGCAGATAGCTACAGTCCCAATATTGGGGCAGTGAGGGTAAGGGAATTGGGAGTACAAAGCTAGCCATGGCCAAAATCAAACAGAAAATAAATGAAAATGATATATGCCTGTGATCCAGAATATATGATGCAATTTCTCCTAGACTATAAACTGAAAACTTCCAAGTAAATGCATTTGGAAGGGAATCTATTTATTTTATGTATACAGATGCATAAACATCCATCTAAAACATTGTTGTATAAGTTCAGATGAAATCTCTTTGCCAGAGAGTGAAGAATATTATTCTTTTTTTAAAAAAAAAATACTATTATATCTTATGTGTATGGGTGTTTTGCCTGCATGTGTTCACCAAATGTGTGAAGTCTCCACAGAAGCCAGAAGAGGGCACTGGGTCTCCTGAAACTGGAGTTACAGGTGGTTGTTAGCCACCACCACTTGAGTACTGGGAATGAAATCTTGGGTCTTCTGGAAAAGCAGCGGTGCTCTTAACCAAAGAGCCAGGTCTCTGGCCCTGAAAACATTATTAAGCTCTTGTGGTAGTGGGGTGTAAATGTGAATTGAGTCTCATCTTTTCAGTTCAGTCTTGTTTTCTTTCCTCATCCTTTAAATCATTCTTTGATTGTATTCCACCACTTCCCATTCACTTCTAGTACCTGAAAATCTTGCTCAGTTTAAAACTTCAATCTCATATTTAATTTAATGTCATGTCTTTTCTTATCCTATCTTGGTCAAGATCAGATATCCCTAAAGATGAATAGGTTCATGATTTAGCTGTAGATCTCATGCCTTCCTTCCATCCATGGGGCTCAGTATTTATTGAAAGGACAGAGGAACAGAAGAAGAGGGATCCTGCTTCTGAATGATTGTCACAATCTCACTGACTTTGATTGACCAGGTCTTTGAAGTCTTTTCTTGGAGAGGTGGCCAAAGACTGGCCAACCTGAGAGTATGCATCAAACACGTGCTTTTCAAAGGGCCATTCTAAGAATGTACAGTGTACTAGTCTCAGCCTACCTGAGACCCAACCCTCTCCGGTGTTGTTCTGGCTCCCACCAGTGGTGCTCTAGCCCACAGCTTCCTGCTGGTGAGCCCATCTCTTGGTGAAGCATAAGCAGAGATCATAAAACTTCTGTCCCCATCTCTACTCTGTCATCCCACTCCAATTCTCTCCTCTGAAAAACAAGAGAAGAGAAAGAATTATATATACAAAAGACAGGTCTCTTCCTGTGTACACAACATCAGTCTTTTAATGCCTCTTGTCAATGATACTCCCCCCCAAAATGTATTCTTTTTTATTTGTCTATTTAGCCATTCATTGATTCATTCGTTTATTTTATATGTGTGTAGAGGTTGGTTCTTTCTTTCCACATTGATGAGGCAAACTCTCTCTTTCTTCAGCGGCTGTACTATGTACTCCAGTCTGTACGATTCCAGGTAATTCTCCTGTCTCCACCTCCCATATCCTTATAGAAGTGCTGGGGTTACATATAAGTACCACAACATCCAGCTTCTTTATGGGTTCTGGGGGTCCAAACTCAGGTCACCAGGCTTATGCAACAAGTGCGTTTACTCACCTGCCCATCTTCTGTGCCTTCTCTCATCACAACCTCATGCTCTCATTCATTGTACACCTTTCCCATAACCTACTCTGTGACTACACTCACCATCTTAATCTAAACCTTTGGAGCAAAATGTTCACACAAACATACACTACAGATATGTCTAACTTGTGCCTACAATCTGTTTAATGTGCCTCTATGTGGTCATTTGGAAATGGGATGGAGATATAGAATATCTCCTTATCTATCAATTTGGATCTTGGTCAACATTTCTGGGACAATAGCATAATCTTTCTACAGAATCAATACTTTCTTATTTATTTAGATGGAAAAAAGTGTTGCTTAGGGAAGCTGAATAACTTGAGGCAACAACAGAGATTTTTTTTTCTCTATCCATGTCATTCAGAGCAAAGGCCTGTCCTTAAGCAAGACATGATAGCATGTCCTCTTGTGCCATCTCTGGCTTTCCTTAGAAGAGAGAACATTATAAAAGAGAGTTCTACTTAAGTGAAAATCCAGACATGGCCACAGCTCATTTTCAGGGACATTTCAGAGTCAACCAAAGAGTCTGTACTGGAGAATTCTCAGTGTTCTATCAGTCCCTAGGGTGAGAAAACATGCCAGTGGTTGTAATTGTAGAATAGGAAGTGTGATATAAAAGTAAATCATAGAAAGTTGTAGATAATGTAGCTTTTAAAATAGTATCTGGCAATAATGATAATAGCTAACATATCCAGGCACTAACTATAAAAATTATTATTTCTTTATATGTATCTTATTTCAATAAATCATGGAATAAATAATTCTTTTTTTCTCTCTTAAAGCAACTAAGCCTGGAGATATATGATTTTCCAAAAAGCATTTAGCTCAAAACATAGACAAGAATAATAATGTTTTATCTTTATTTTTAAAAGCTTGTTTTGGGTTTCAGTTTGTTTTTTTCTGTCAGAGTTTGAACAAAACTTGTGTTGTGTAAGAGTTTGCCTTTTAAGCAGATCAAGCTACATCTTGCACGGCCTTGATGCAGGGAGAGGGGCTTAGACCTGCCTCTACTAAATGTACCAGGCTCTGCAGACTCCCTTTGGGATACCTTGCCTTGTTGGAGGAGGGAATGGGGGTGGTTGGGGCGGGGGGAGGCAGGAAGGGCCAGAGAAGGGAAAAGAGGAGGATCTGTGATTGGTACGTAAAATAAATTTTAAAAATCCTTAATTTAAAAAAAGAAAAGAGTTTGCCCTTTTTTCTGACTTAGCTGTTAACATAGATGACGTTTGATAAATTCTTTTCCTCTGTCTTACAGAAAAAATCAAGAACACAGATCATACATAACCCCAGAAGGCAAATGCTTTTAAACCTTCAAAGATGGCAAAATTGTTTACATCGACATAAGGGAAATCAAAAGCTAAGAACTACCTACTCTGTAGCCAAGACTGTGCTTTAAAGCCGTTATTCAAGGTTTCTTACTTGACAGTTTATAATGACCCTGTTGAAAAATCTACATTATATGCTGCATTTAATGAAACATGTGTATGTCGAACCAGAAGAAGAGAACTAACTATAAACGTATAGTGTGTAAAGGAAAAATTCAGCAATGAAACCAGTTTCAGCAGATCAAGAGAAGATGTGTCTTGGACATGGAACCAAAGTTACAAAGAAACATTCAACTCCTGCTGTGCAGGGGGGGTCATTTTAATGTAACACCACACCCCATGGAAAGACTATTCCTGAAAATAAACATCATTTTAAAAAAAACAAAAGAAAAAAAAAAAAAACAAGGGTGGGCGGGGAATGAAGCACGAGGAGTACCTATGAGGAGCTATTTACAATAAAATGTTTCATTTGAAAAGTCTGGTTTCTTACTACAGGGATTTGCTTTTCTGTCCTTATAATTGTTTTAAACTCAGGAACAGAGACGTCCGTGATACGGATGGAAGAAACATTCTCCATTTTGTTTCTCCAAAAGGTGGAGTTGGGGATCAGAAGTGGATCCCAGTTATGCTACAAGCAACCAAGTCAAAGGACTCTGGGGAGTGTAACACGGGCTATTAATGGAAATCTGATGCTTCCTTGTATCACATGCCTGCATTTCTCCACCACGGACAGACTGGTCTCATCCATACTGAAAATGATGAAGATTATACCCACCAGTTACAAACTCCCTAACTTAGCTCTGTCTAGAGCATCAAGATCTATAGGGAACTAGGGCCAGAAAACACCTCTGCATCTTCCAGTTTCAAGTTCAAATTGCCTGCAAATGAATAAGCTGTCCAACTTGGGTAACATCCTAGAAGTGATAAGTCAAATACCAACAGTCGGGGTTGCCAGAGAGCTATGGATATTAAGTATCCTGCTATACCCAAAGCAATCTGAACTCTTGTCATTTAGAACAATGAAATTATTTTCTGAGATAGATGACAGAGACAAGATGGGTCTACTTTTTTAGAAAGAGGTAACGTTACTGACACTGTGGTTCTTTACCACAGGCAGGTAGAAAACTCGTACTTCTCCTAAGTTATGTATTACTGAGTCTTGGATTCAGCGCTGACAGTAAGTATATGTTCCTGAAAAGCTGATTTTACACCTCATTTACTGTAGATAACAAGACAACCTCAAGTTTTCAAATATTCCAAGTTTTCTTTTGGGGGCTAGAATTCCCATGCATAGAGAATGTGTGTAGGGAGCCAGAAACTCTTTCTAGGAAATGTTACACAAATAGTTCCATATGTGAATTGAGCATATTCTCCTTCAGTTTCTGCACTGGCATTTTCCAAGCCAGAACAACAACCGAAAAATCTACAAGACAAAACAGGATGCTGGAGTCCCACATTTCTGTCCTTGTTTTGAATGCTTACCCAAGTGTTTGGCCCAGTCACTGAGCCTCTCTGTGCCTCAGATTCCTCATCTGCAAAATGGGGGTTAGATGCTTTTTTTTTTTTTTGGAAGGTTTTATTTGCAATTCTGGAATAAGAGGTGCTTAAAGTAGCACAAAGTGCTTTGTAACTGTTGTAAATGCTATATTGTTTGACTTCCCTGTACAATGAAATAGTTACCGAGTTTGATTCAAACAGCATAGCATTACTGAAGCTTCCCCATCAAGCTACCTGGGACATTGTTAGCAATAAATTGTGAGATTCAAAACCACGCTGTTGAATCATCTATCTCAAATGGATTGACTCATACTATGTTATTCCCATGCTAAGCACCTCCTATGCTCTTCCGATTGCATAAACACCCATCAAACGAGACCCTGTTATCATCACAGGAGAGCCAACCATGCAACCAAGTGTTGGCAAGAAGAGAAAGCAACCGAGAAACCCGAATATTTCTTTCAAGGAATGCCAGATGATGTGTCCTAAAGCAAACATAAAAACCAGAGCTATCCAATGGACTCTTTGTGCAGCTAAGGTAAGTTCCAGATCAAACGCTAAAGATTTAGGTTCATCGTGCAGTTGATGTGAAACAGGGTACTTATACTATGCCTGCCACCCAGCTAACTCTCTGTCATATGTGGAAAAATACAAATAACTTTTTTTTTTACCTCTTTAATTACACTTCACCTACCATTATGGGGCCCACTTGAGAAAAATCCATACTTTATCTGCTCCAAACATGCCTTTCTTCTCTCCTTTTGGCCCTCCCTATCAAGAACCTGATAGGTTAATTTTAATACCAGAGCACTATATGTAAATTATTATGAATGTTAATAATATGCCATATCTGCTTCCCTGCTGTTAGTTGAATTGCATCAATCCCACACTGAACTGTGAGAGCAGCGGCTGATTGGTCATCTCTAAAACTTAGATGTGTGTGTGTGTGTGTGTGTGTGTGTGTGTGTGTGTGTGTGTGTGTTGGAGAATATTCTTTCTGTTTAATATCCAGAATACCAAGGAAATTTCTCTAGATTGTGAGCTAAATGGTGTTATCTTTACCAAGTTTGGGTCATGTCCTCAAAATGAACACTCTAATATTTAGACTAGGGAATTTTGAAAGATTCCATCCATATTTACAATTACAGCAATGTTGAGAAAATTGCAGGTGTGTGTTTTGCTCAATTACAGATCCATGAAAATGGAATGCTTCCTTGCGTATGATGCTCAGAAAAGCCAAAAGAATGTAACTTTAGTAATAGAGAGGTCTGCTACGACTTTGTTTCTTATTTTCCAAAAAGATAATTCCCACTTCTTTTAATTTCTGTATCTGTACCATCCAGATACACTTGGCCAGAGATTGAGGGAGAATTAGCACAATAAGAGTCCATTTACCTATGTTCTCTTAGCCAAGGACTCATCTCTTTGAAACTGACTGGAGTAGTTCAAGAGAAAGAAAAGCTCCTATTTAGCACTGCCGGGACAGTGACCTCTCCATGAGTGAGAAGAAATGCAAAGACTCTGTGATAACCATTCTACAAAACACTGTCATCAGCTTCACCATCCCTTTTTAAATATCATCTAACTTGTATTTCAGATGAAGAATTAGGTTAGTGATGATCCTGTTTGACTTGGGTCTTGTCAGTTAAATTGCCACTAAAAGTAAGGTTTTAAGAATGAAAGAATACACTTGGCCTTGATTTTGATTTTTTTTTTCTTCCATCTAGAAATAACTTCTTATGCAGGTATGTGGTTCTCCCCAGCTTAGGAGATGGGGTCATCTCTGGGATCAGAAAGGGTTTCCACCCGCTGTAGAAGAAATAAAATTTGCCAAATCATTTGTGCTGCAGTATTTTATTTCAACCTGTGTATTTTTCATTATTTACATAAATCTCGCCCAGTTTTCTTCTGCTTATTTATTGTTAACTTTTTCTATAAACCCATTGTAAAATTTGTATGTTTATATCTTCATTGTAATTGATAAGCACCTTATTTTAAAATGATGCCTATTGTTTTAACCTGCCTGGGTTTTCATAGAAACTGTAAAAAGAATATCTGTTGGTTATATGTTGGTATTTAAATAACTGGACAGTCTCTGCAATCTTACATCAAAGTAGATGACCAATGTACTCTATATTAAAACATATAGTTGTGTATTTTTTATCTGTCAAAGAGTGGAGTGGAATACACACACACACACACACACACACACACACACACACACACACACACACGAGTGTATTGGAATAAGAACTGTAGGAATCAACTATGTCATTTGGGAGTCACATTGCTTTTGTTACAATTTAACTGCCCTCGATCTCTCTCCACCTTTCCCTCACCTCCCTCCTTTTTTATTTTTATTTTTTTATGGTGGTGCTAGAGGTTGAATCCAGGTGCCTGAGTATTCTAGACAGCATAGAGCCATATCCCACCAGATCCTTGCCCTGGTAACGTAATAGGTTTTAGGGATTAAACTTGATCTACTATTTGGAAAAAAAATAACTTGAAGTATCAGTAATGGAAGTAGATCTTAGACGGGATTAAACTTGATCTACTATTTGGCAAAAAAAAAATAAGTTTTGAAGTATCAGTAATGGAAGTAGATGTTAGACGACTGTTTATGGCCTGAGCTACTGCTTCCAGGGTGGACCCACACTCCTCTTCCAGTGAATTTCTACTCTGGATGAGAAAAGAGACACAGGAGAAAGATCTCCTTCCTGACTACTGCCTAGAGAGTGGATTCCAGACATCGCTACAGAAGGACTTAGCATGATGGAAGAATGGAGTTGGTCCTCAGGATGCCTCTTTAAGGACCAAATTCTATTATTCCATTTCAGAACTGAGCAGGGCAGGTCCTCATTCCATCCCTGACTTTAGCAGTTGAGTTCTTCCTAAATAAATCTTCTATTGCTGGGAGAGCCTGTATCCAATTCTTAATTGGAATGTTAAAAGATGTATGTAAAGGGGCAGTACCGGAAAATGGATTATAATTTACTACATTCAATCTGCTGTGTCAAACTCAGAGGTACAAATGATTGACTTAAATGTGGCTTTCTGGTTTGATTTTGCTCTTTTGTACCAAACTCTTTACACCCACCATATTTCCATTTTTGTTATCTACAGTCCTATAGGGTGACTGTGGTGGAGGCAAACAATGTTGAATCCCCTTTGCCCACCATGAAGACTGTGCATACTTCCTAAAGGATGTATGATCTCATTTCCTAATTAGGAGCAGACCTGGAACCTGTTAGAAACTGTAATCCCTTAGGTTTGACCGACACCTCACAAAATGTGCCTATTTACCCACTAGCTACACTGTCTCCCCCACAGTAAAGCAGGTCGACATCCAAACGCTTATGAGATGTACTTATTCATGCAAATGTATTCTGTACACAGTATGATGGTGCAGGCATCAATAGATATGTATCTCAGACCTGGACAGAGTACTTAGAGAAGATGCTTTTCTGATGTTGCTAGGCAACTTGCTTTTGTCTAGCATATGGTGTCTACACTCACCCTTCCTTGGCTGCCTCTTGGCTCGGCTGACCCACCTTCCACCATTACCACTCTCTCCTGTTGCCTGTGAATTTTCAATGACTCAATCCCCCTAAGCCAGAAATTTTTATTCCTAGAATCTCAACAAAGAAAGCCAGCGCAATTTACAGTATTAATGTCAGTCAAAGGTCCTACTTTTTTTTATCAACTAAACTTGCATCTCAAGAAGCTTTTGTGCATGATCTAACCTATAGTGTCTAATTCTGTTGGGACTTAAGTTTAGAGTGAATAGGTTTGAATCCACAACTCCTTGTGTGTCTACTGAGTTAGTGTAGCCAGGGAGCCTGTTTCCAAAGTGTTCCCCTGTTTTCAAAGGAAAACACAGTCGCCTGCATTAGTCAGGGTTTTCCCTGTCTCATCAGCATGACTCTGTAGGCTACTTCACTGCTTACTCATGAGAGGGATGACAGGGCTGGTTGCAGCAGAGGGATTATGGGAAGTTCATGGGACATGTACATGTACTGTATGTATCACCATAGAGACTGGAATCCATTTATTGTATGTAAAGTTTTATGAATGGTTATTTTATAATTTATGTATTTAATATAGCAATCAATGAACTCTGGTGTTTTAGTTTCTATGAAAAAAATAAACTGCATTTTTAAGAAAAATATTTACCTTGTATTATTCCTAGGATTTTTTAAAAATTATAACTCAACTCATAATGTTTTGTAAAAGCAGGGTGAGGCAAATTAGGATTAATGGCATAATTTTGTGAAATAAATTCAACATCAAGAATAGGAAGCACATATCTTCTCTTGTCAGTCTTTGGAAATCTCAAATTTATGCTGTGTTTGGCGCAGGCACACTTACAAGGAGACCAAGGCAGGATGTACAGCCTTCTGCAAAGAGCTGTAGTTCTTAGCATCCCTTTTCAGAGGAGTGTGTCAAGTGCTCGCTATCCCAATTCTAACCTTGCTTCCATGTTCCCAGCTATTTATCCCTGCCCCCTGCTTTGTAGAGTTACCAGACATGGTAACTGAGCAAGTGTGCTCTACAGGAGCATCCGCCATGTGTCAAATTCTATGTCCTAGATGCTCTGGGTGAAATTTCATAGAACTTGCAATCTGATGAGGTGAAAAACCTAGACAGGCTTGAGGGGCTGGTCACTGCACAGGCTTTGAGTCAAATCCTGCTCTATGTTTTATTTGTGCTCTTCCTAGCCAGGAATTCTCTCATCCCCCCCCCCCACCACCCACATATGTCTTACAGTTGCAGGTTTACCTTAGCTATCACCTCCTTCAAGAATTGAGTATGTTTTTAACACTTGTTGAGGCCAGATTCCTTACAGATACATGAAACCACTTATGTATATATAAGCTATAACAATAGAAAGGAGACTGGGGAAGGAAGGGCTGGCAGTCAGGGAAGGACGAGAGGGAGAGAAAGGATGGGAAAAGACGCGAATATGTTCAAAACTGTCTTTATGAAACTCAGCACTATGTACAATGCACATGCATCAGTAAGAAACGTTGAAAAACATGTGTTTGGCCGAGTAGCCTTTCCACGTTCCCTGTGTCCTATTGTGCTTTCCCACACAAAGTTACTGGGTTTGTGCCTTCTCACTCCATTCCCCAGTTAAACCTGAGGGCTGTCTTAAGCTACCACACCTTTGCATCTAGGTCAGGCCCTCGTCCTGAACAGAATCTTACTGAATGACTCTCGTTCTGTTGTTTTCTGTATTGGACTGTCCGGGAAGGATTCACATACCATTCAGGTGATCAGAGAAGGCTCCATGAAGGAAGAGAGAACTGAACCAGGATGCTTCAGTGGAAACAAATGGGCTTTTGTTTGTTTTGCTATTCTCTTCCTTACATTATTCCTTTCTTCACTCCCCTCCTTTCTTTCTTCCTTTTTCCTTCTCCCTTTCTTATTTTGCCACCTTATGCTTAAGAAGAGTTTTGTTTTTTTCATGAACCAAAAGATATTTCTAAAACATGTGCAAATAAACTACCAAGTACTGTGAGTCTGTTCCTTCTGGGTACTATACTGTACTCTATACCTGTGCCTTCTGGGTACTATACTGTACTCTATACCTGTGCCTTCTGGGTACTATACTGCACTGTATGCCTGCTCCTTCCTGGGTACTACACTCTACTGTATGCCTGCTTCTTCCTGGGTGTTCTCCAGTTAGTTTCTATTCTTTTGTATTCTACTATCTGGCCACCAGAGGGAGCATTTGCCCAGGAAAAACAAGCACTCCCCCCCCCCCCAAGTCTGAAGTTGACTTTACGTGGTATTTTGTGGATTTTATTGTGTTTTTTTTTTTTTTTCTTTCCCACATCCATCTGAAGTGACAGCCTAAAATCAGGCGTTGGAGTGCTCACTCTTCTGTAATGGTTTTCACCATCTGGATTTGCAACCTTTCAGTTCTGGATGTGGAGGGGTTCACATGGGCAGCAAATTCATCTGCAAACACAAAGACCCGAAAAACCTGGTGACCTGTTACACAGCCTCCAAATACCCCAGACTTGCTCCAGACACAAAGGGGGTCAAGGCAATGCACCAGAGTCACTCCCTAAGTCCCCACCTCTGAAATGAGCTCCCCCAGGGGACAGACAGGGGAGGCATGCTATTGTGTCTAAGATTCTCATACTATGTAGGAAGCTTTGGTTGTTTTTCTTTCTTTTTTCTTTTGTAAAATTATAGTATTATGTTTAAGATGTCATTGCCAAAACACACTCTGTTTCCCTAAAGGGATTTTCAAAGAAAAGAATTAAGGATGGGTCCTTAAAACATTAGTTACCTCCCAAGAAGCACAAGAATGAAAAACAGCAATGATGGACTTGTACAAATGTTGACTTCATACACTTAAATTCCGTAAGTCCACTTTCCCTAACTATCAACGGTACTGTGACAAAGTACCCTGGCTTCTACCGCTCCCACTTCCTCAGCTACCCAAGGGCTGCTACATGAAAGCACACCTTCAAGTATGCCAGCAGCTTCAATTTCATTTCAAATGGAAGAAAAATCGTCACCCACTAACGTCGACCTCTTCTGGACTTTCCTCTTTCTTCTGCTTCAAGAGGTGCGTACACAGCAGTTAGTCACACAGGGTCCCACTCTTGTCTATACCATTAGCCATGTGCTATCCAATGAGTAACTTCGCCGCTCGAAACCTTCATTTTCTTACATGTAAAATGCAGAGATAATGCCTCTTGCTTCATTGGACTGTGATGAGAATTCAATAATCAGCAACAGGGTCAGAACAGAGGATACTGTGTGGCTAGAACCCAGTCAGGATGCAGTAAGTCACACTTTCGTGAGTATGTTGTTCAGTTTGTTGGTGCAGAAGGATGCTGTGGGAGCTCGGAGCATGAAAGGGCGGAACTAGAAAAGAAAGCTGCTTTCCCCGGCATCCGTGCCTTCGGGATCCCTCCTCAGCTACTGGCAGTTCGGTTCCCTGTCAAACCACAGAAAATGCCTTCAACGCCTCACAATGGTAAACAAATACACAGTGCTGTATTCTGGGTTTGAGCCTTGAGACTGGGGATGCAGCCCCAGGACAGAGTGCATGAATGACATGTGTAAGACTCTCAATGACAGCCCCATCACCTCTCAAAATGACAAAGGACAAAACTGAAGTCTTCCCTTTCAGACTAGGGTTATAGGTTGTGGAAGGGAGACAAAAAAAAGTGGCGGAAGAACCCAGGCAAAATGCTAAGAGCCAAGTACGACTATGAAGCTTGTGCAGCAACTTTAAATTGCCCGGAGTCGTCACAGGAGGTGCTGTAGAAGGAACAACCCTCTAAGGTGTGTCTGACTCAGGCATTACTGACTTAATGAAGTAAGCACTTCTGACCTGGAAAAAGACCTTAATGTGTGTTCACTCATTTTCTTATTTGGTCATTTTTCAGTAAATATTGATTGAACAGCTACAGTGGAGAGGCATGCCTGTGCATAAAGCGGGCGGCATATGGAAGCGACTCACCTATTGGGAGGCCGTTAGGAAGCAACAGAGCCAAGACCCGAGTCAGACCCTCTGACTCCACAGTTAGAGAACTTTTCACTAAAAACCATAATGAAGTCAACTCATTTAATCATTTTAGAACAAATTGTAAAATCTTAGATGGTGTGTAGCTGAATCTTAAAGGTTCTTATTAATAAAAACAAACCGGAGGCCAGGTATTGGGGTGAATGCTGAAAGACCAGAGAAGCAGAATAAGCCACAGCTTCCTCACCTCGCCGATTCCTCAGCTGATCCTGTTTCCTCAGACAGGAAGCCTCTGAGTCCAGAATGGGTCTCAGCTGAACTACTGCTCCAAAGCCTGAAAGCTTAACCAGCTCTAGTTCCTGGTCCCCATGCCTTATATACATTTCTGCCATCACTTCCTGGGATTAAAGGCACGCATCACCATGCCTGGCTGTTTCCAGTGTAGCCTTGAACCCAGATGGATCTCTGTCTCTGGAATGCTAGGATTAAAGGTGTGTGCTACCACTGCCTAACCTCTGTGTTTAATATTATGGCTGTTCTGTTCTCTGACCCCAGATAAGTTTATTAGGGTGCACAATATTTTGGGGAACACAATATCACCACAATGGTGTAATATGTAAATGTATTAATATACTTACTAATATAAATGATATGTACAATCTATCACTCAGTAAATAAACAGCAGTGTTAGAATGACAGAGTCCCTGATGTGAGGCAGAAAGTTTCCATGAATTTTTTTTTCACATGCTTGTACAGCCAATAGCAGGATCTCAGATTGCAGGCTCACCCTTGAAGTCCAGCTTCATTCCCATCATACCTGCAACACCTTGACCAACTTCTTAAATCTCTGAGGCTCAAATTCCTTACACTTTGAGCAATCATGTCTCCTTGGGGTTATGCTGAGGATTCAATATTAATTGGCCACAATGAAACACTGAAACTATACAGAAAATGCTTCCTGCAGACTCCATCATGGTCATTCATAGTCTTACTATCTACATTTACATTTTACATTATGAAGTACTTGTCCAAGTCTTCTTAGCTAGCATGTGGCTAAGTCAGAATCCAAACTCTGATCTAACCCTCAAGCTTATGCTCTCCACATAAAAGCATGGCAGATGTCACTTGGCCTTCACTCAGTTAGTTAGGTCTTTAAGGTAGGCAGACATGAAATACACCAAAAACACTAGGAGTAGGACCATACAGATAACTTTGCCTGAGCATGTTCACTGAATGACTATTGAGTTTTGTATGTTTTATTCACATTTCTTATCTGCTGAGTTCAGTATGGTAGCAGGAGCATTACAAATGTTCAACACATATATAATCAATGAACATGGGCAAGGGGATTGTACAAGTAGAAAGGCATTGTTTTGCTTTATTTTTCTGTCTATAATATGCTCAGGGTAAAGAGGACATGGCTGTTTTCTATCACAGCTAAAAGATAACAGAAGATAGTGTTCCACTATCTAAAAGGCTGGAGACCCACTCTGCTATTGATAAAAGTGTATGTGCTGGTTGGTTTTATGTCAACTTTTTGACACAAGCTAGAGTCATCATAGAGGGTGGAACATCAATTGAGAAAAATGCCTCCATAAGGCAAGTCTATGGGGTATTTCTTTAAATAGTGATTGACATGGGAGGAGCCAATTGTGATGGGGCTATCCCTGGGCTGGTGG